AAAAAAAAAAAAAAAAAAAAGAAACAAAAAGAAAGTAGCTTAATGGTGTGTCGCGTAATCAGGTATTGCACTGTCTCAATGGCCGCCGCGTAGTCGCGTAATCTCGTTGCAACTCTCCGCGAAACGTGTCCGATAAATTCGTCGGGGCGCAAACCCTGTGAAAAACGCGCGACAATTGAAAAATTCCGCGCGTCCACGATCGGCCTCGACTCGCGACGATGATGTGTAGCGCGAAGAAAAAGCTTGATGTTTCTCTCACCTTGGAAAAAAATGAAGGAATGAAGATCGATCGAAGAAACCACCGAACGCCAGCGCACTCGACGTTCTTCCTCTCGCCGTTTTTTTTTTTTTTTTTTTTCCCTATTACGAATTTATAAACCGCGTGTTCACTCACTCACACACACACACACACACACACACACACACACACACATACGCACTCACGCACGCACACACACGCACACATCGAGTCGAACTGCACCGCGTAGAAAATTTCACTAACAATAAGTGGACGTTTCCAGCCTACTCCCCTCCCAACCCCTCCCCACCCGCCCTACCCCCCTTAGCTCTCGGTCTCTTTTAATCGTCGGTGCGCGCGCGTTCTATTTTCCCAACCCCCTGTGTCAACTGTATAAAATATTCTCAATCGTATCAACAACAGTCGCATCGTACAACGTCAGTACATTATTACAATAGTTTATAGTAAATCGTAATCAGTATAATATTCACAGCATTTTATCAAAATCTCTTAAAAGCACCAACCGTGGCGGCTCAAAATTCCTCCCCACACAACTCACTCGTCCCCGTGTGTTCGTACCCTCGTCGTTCCGTTTCGCTCCCTCTCCCCCTCCTCTCATGGTTTCTTCCCTCTTCTTTTTTTTTCTTTTTTCTTTTTTTTAACTTACCCCCCCATCTCGCTCGTGTACATATGTGTGTATGTTTGTGTGTGTTAGATGTGTGTGTGTGTGTATATATATGTATATATATACCTTTAATAATTTATCGATATATATATACGTATAATTTATAATATATATATATCTATATATATATATATATTTATAATATATATTTATATATGTATAATAAGCTAAACGTTTCGTCTTAAAGCACTGATTAAACGAGGGAGCTCGTTATTAACGTGTCCCTCCCCCTGAACACGCGTTTACCAACCATCCTAACCAAAATCACAGGACTAACTAGAAACACCGCCGGCTTCTTTGCCCCGTCGCTCGACGTTTTTGTTGAGAACCGTTTCGGGGTTGAGACACGACGACACGGGGAGTCGCGCGTCGCGCCAACCCCCGGCGGCGTGGCGCAGCGACGCGCGCGATCAGCAGCTGATGAACGAGATAGGGAGACGAGTGGTACCGGGGGAGAATCGGGAAAATCCGTGCGGAGGGGGCCGGGGGGAGCGGGGGGGGACGTGCGGATGCGTAAGGACGTTCGAGAGACGCGTCGCGGTGACGACGTCGATCTGTTCTTTGCGTAATCGGCGGCGGCAACGATGACAACACGAAGATGATCTCGTAGATCGGCGGAACGTCCCGTCGTTGTACGCTGGTCGTCGTCGTCGTCGTCGTCATCATCATCATCGTCGGCTGCAGCTGCTGCGGCGGTGGCGGCGGCGGCGGCGGCGGCGTCGTAGCGGCGGTCTTTGCTGCTGAGGCTAAGGCGAACTCAATGATGCGGCGGTGGCGGCGGCGGGGCCTCTTCCTCGGAGGGGTCCACGGGGCTCGGGGACAGGAACTTGCGCACATACTTCGGATAATGTGTCTTTTCGTGGGCCTTGAGTATCGTCGACCTCGAGAAGGTTTTGCCGCACAGCGTACACCGGAACGGCCGCTCGCCGGTGTGAACGCGACAGTGGTCCTTCATGTGGTGGCGCAGCTTGAACGCCTTACCGCAGAACTCGCACTTGAACGGCCGGTCGCCGGTGTGCGCCGGTAGGTGGGCGATCAGCGAGCCGACGTCCGGGAAGGATTTGCCGCAGAACTTGCAGAGAACGACGCCGGAGGTGGGGTCCGAGTGGGCCGCGAGCTCGAAGTCCATCGGCTCGATCGTACCCGCGGCAGGGTAGTGGGCCTCAGGCGGCAGGTGCATGCCGGGCTCGAGGCCCAGCTGAGCCTGCAGCTGCAGGTGGGCCGCCTGCTCGCGGTACTTGAGCGACTCGAGGCTGTGCGAGAGGATGTGCCGCGTCAGCTTGCTCTGGTGGAGGAACGAGGCACCGCAGTACATGCACGCAAACACCCGCTCATCCACACCCATCAACTCCTGCAACCAAACAAACAAGAACATCAACTTCTTGTCTTCCCTCTGGCGCTCTCTACCCCCGCGGGAAAGACTCTCTCTCTCTCTCTCTCACTCTCTTTCTCTCTCTGCCTCTTTCTACTATCTCTCTCCTATCTCTCTCGCTCTCTCTCTCATTCTCTCTTTCTTTCTCTCTCTCTCTCTCTCTCTCTCTCTCTCTCTCTCTTTGTCTCTTTATTTCAATCTACTTCGAATCACACTGCTCTGGTTTTTTTCTTTTTTTTTTGTTTTTTGCTCTTTTTCCAACTTTTATTGGCCTAGTCCCGGAAAGTATCTCAAAGGTACGTTTCGCTAAACGTGATTGTGCTATCGTATATACAACACCGCAATATACCACGCGCGACAAGCCGCCGTTTTTTTTTCTTTTTCTCGACGCTACTCGATTTTCACAGGATAAACACAGGATGCACACATATATTGCATATATATATATATATATATATATATGCAATATATAACATATTATATAGATATATGTGCATGTGATAAATACGTTTTACATGTGCCGCAACGCGTCGTTTCTCCGGAGACGAGACGCCGCGGCGGCCACCCCCCTTCCCGAACGGACAAGAAACAAAGGAAAAAAAAAAGATATTCATCTCACATCGTGCTCCCTTCTGTTTTCTCTCTCACGGAAGACTAAGACTTCGTGTTCTAATGCGTCTAAGTTCTCGGTTAGAAAAAAAAAAAAAAAAAAAAAAAAAAAGAAGGAACAGGCAAGCTCGTTCTCTTGACACTACTGTAAGCACGTGTTGCGGCTAATCGCCCTTTCTCTCTCTCTCTCTCGCTCTCTTTCTCTCTCTCTAGTTATCTATCTATCTATCTCTATCTTTCTCTCTCGCTCTCTCTCTCTTTCGCTCTCTCTCTCTCTCTCTCTCTCTTTCTTTCTTTCGTTCTTTCCGTGTCTAATTCAGAATTTTTATTCGTTCGGAGGAGAAAGTGTCTCCGGCGTGGCGAGAAGCTGACGCTTCTCGGCAGCACACAAGACGGTATTCACAAGAAGTTGACGCTCATTTTTGTTTGGCGCGCACCCCCGCACCCCCAGAGGCACATGTATTATGACAAACTATTCGAAACTGTGTTACAATGTATGTATATATATGTATATATACACAGGTTGCTCCCGCGCTCTATCGCCGTTCCTCTTATCTATCAACGTTTTGACGACCAATTTGGAGAAACTCGAATAGAAACACATCGCGGTGTTACAGATAAAACACAAAAGTCTCATTTTTTTTTTTTCATATTTATTGAAACGAGATTGAAAAGAGAAAGCACATCTTTGACAAAGAACACAAATGTAAGCAGCTAAAGCTGATTATCTCCAAACAATTATTATACCAAGAAAGTGTTTTTGAAGCTAATTTGTAATTACAAAAATCCGCGGCGATAACGCGAACAAAATTAATTGCGAATGAAACATATGAAATTGGTCAAAAGAGAGATCTATAAATAAAACGAGCGGCGATATTTCCGGAGGGAGGCATCTTGCATATATATATATATATATATATATATATATATAAAACTAGATAAATATATATATACATAGATATATAAATATATATATATA